TGAACATCAGTAATTAAACACGCATCATGATTGTCCATGGTTGGCCCATCCAAAATCCATCGGTAAATGCCAACTTCCAGCAGTCGGGCCCTGAACCCCCCGGCAGGAACTGAGATTCAGATGAAACCCTTCGAATGTCAGAGTGAACATGCTTCATTTCTACATTTACCCAAGCCACTACAAAATGATTCCGCAGTACCTAGTTTACCATCACTAATTATCCGTCTCTGGGTAATAAACTTGGTGTCTATATACCTTTGTCAAAATCCGAAGGCAAACAACTTAGACATCGTGGGGGCGCGGGCAACGTTGCGCTCAACAGCGCTCCCTAGGCCCTATGCTAAGATGTCACCAGCTCTAGGCATGAGGGCAGAAGAATGCTAGTCACGATGGAACAGAGCATGTAGCGAGACGCCCACATGTTTGTCTTGATGATACCCTCTGGTAAACTAACATAACTATGGAAAATCACCATTTTTAATGGGAAAATCCACTATTAATGGTCATTTTCAATAGCTATGTTAAATTACCAGAGGGTAAACATTGTGCTTCTACCAGCAGAAGCAACTCTCATTGTTGTCATATCACAATGTCAGCTGTGTCTGCAATATCCATCTCAATTCCCTGGTAAACATTACCTCGTCGTTGGAACAACCCTCTGTTGATGGTCAAAACAGATCCTTTTAGAGGACATTGTGAACATATCCTTGTGTCATTGAACAACCCGGGGTATGTCATCTTCGCCCTATTGCATTGACACCTCGCCCATCCCTTGATCCAATATCATTGAAACATATTGAAACGGTGGTGACTCAGACTTTGCTAAGTTGATTTGTATCTAGCATTTCGCTATAAAGGCTTATAGTTGATGGGGTTTATAAGCCAACAAACATTACCGGGGGGAAGACCTTGTGCAGAATACTGCACTAGTTGAGAAGGCCATCGCCTCTTATGTGTGGTCGTCAAAGGGTTTAAAACCATCTACTGTACCTGGTACCAGAAGCACAACTGTCGGTAGTTCAACTAGTTCAACCAGATCAAACAAAATGTGTTGGTTGGTTGCATTTGTTTTTGTGGTTCGCCAATTCCACGATTCCTCCTGACAATTATCTACAATGGTCATGAAGTCATTACAATTTGCCTAGTTACATGGCTAATCTGAGCTTCACCCGTTCAGAATCCACATGCGATGTTTGTTCGACTTTCTGCCTATCTCTTGGGCATGTTATTAGTGAAAAAAGACACATGACCCAATGCTTGAAATGCAATCCTCATGTAGCCATACAAGAAGTTCTAGTATCTATATATATATATAAATAATTTCAGTCTATAAAATGTTATGATATGTTATGATATGTTATGATCATCATTATGAGTTATTATGAGTTACGATCATCATCCACTGCAATAATCCACTACCAGTTAACCCAGCCAACCACTCCACGACAGAACCCAACAGTTAAATCACCAGGCACCTTCTGGCGCCAGCTCTGGCTCCAGGCATTTCGTAAGCTGGCCCTGACCGGGGGGTACCAATCTTTGTGATGGGAAAATGGTACCAAAAAAAATATGAGACCACATAATTGTGGTACCAATAATATGTTGTTTTAAGATTTATAGTGCAGTACCAAGTTAGCAGTGCAGGGGCAAAGGGGGCCGAAGCGTGGGTTTCCGACGTTGCGCTGTGACGCTCCCGGGGGCGGGTGGCGCTGCGACGCTGCGACGCTCTGGGGGGCGGATGGCGCTGCGACGCTGCGACGCTGCGACGCTGCCAGGGGCAGGTGACGCTGTAACGCTGCGACACTGCGACGCTGCGACGCTGCCATTGGGCCAGTGACGCTGCGACGCTGTTGGCGCTGCGACGCTGCGACGCTGGAGTGACGCTGCGACGCTGTTGGCGCTGCGACGCTGCGACGCTGCGACGCGGGAGCGACGCTGCGACGCTGTTGGCGCTGCGACGCTGCGACGCTGGAGCGACGCTGCGATGCTGTTGGCGCTGCGACGCTGCGACACAGGGGGTGGCGGGGATGATCTCTTGTGATGCTGAAGATGCAACATAATGTTGAGAAAGGGTGGCGGGGCTGATGTCTTGTAATCCTGAAGATGCAACACATTGTTCAGAGGGCCTGGCGGAGCTGATGTCTTGTGAAGACTCCCTAAAAAAACCCTAAAGAAACCCCTTTAAAATTACTTTACTTCGAGTTATCCCCACCATGACATCTATACGTTTTGTTACTGGAAAATCTTCTGGCATTCTGTCTGACATATCTTCTGGCAGTTTATCTGGCATATCTTCTGGCATTCTGTCTGACATATCTTCTGGCAGTTTATCTGGCATATCTTCTGGCATTGAATCTGGCATATCTTCTGGCATTCTACCTGGCATATCTTCTGGCACTTTATCTGGCATATCTTCTGGCAAATCTTCTGGCACATGTTCTGGCATATCTTCTGGCACTCTATATCTGGCATATCTTCTGGCATATCTTCTGACATTCTATCTGGCATTCTATCTGGCAAATCTTCTGGCATATGTTCTGGCAATCATTCTGGCACTTTATCTGGCATACCTTCTGGCATTCTATCTGACATTCTATCTGGCATTCTATCTGGCATATCTTCCTACATGAGGTCCGGCAGGGAACACTTGGCGTGGATACTCGCGGTTGAGGTCAGGGAACACTGGGCGGGGATACTCGCGGTTGAGGTCCGGCAGGGAACACTGGGCGTGGATGGTCGTGGTTGAGGTCCGGCAGGGAGCAGGAGGAGAGGAGACGAGGAGAGGAGACGAGGAGAGGAGACGAGGAGAGGAGACGAGGAGAGGAGACGAGGAGAGGAGACGAGGAGAGGAGGAGGAGGAGGAGAAGGAGGAGGAGGAGGAGCAAGGAACTGACATAAAATCTAACAACCCTCACCTGGCAGGTGGGGAAAAACAAAAGCTGAAAAAAAATAAAGAAACTCCTCAAGATACCCTAAACGGCAAATGCCTGGGCTTTGCCCGGGCCCGCAATGACGACAGGCGACGCATCATCATCATCATCATCATCATCATCATGATCATCATCATTATCATCATCATCGAAATCGTCATGATCATGATGATCATCATCATCATCGTCATCGTCATGATCATCATCATCACCATCATCATCATCATCAGCATCAGCATCATCATATTCATCAAACCCTTTTTGAAGATCTTCCATGAATGTAGAAGTTTAGCGCGGGTGGGAGAATTAAACCCTTCTTGAAGATCTTCAATGAATGAAGAATTTTAACGGGGGTGGGAGAATTAAACCCGTATCGAAGATCTTCAATTAATGTAGAAGTTCAACGGGGCTGGGAGAATTAAACTCTTATTGAAGATCTTAAAGAAGGTGAGAATTAAACCCTCATTGAAGATCGTCAATGAATGTAGAAATTTAACGGGGCTGGGAGAATTAAACCCTTATTGAAGATCTTCAATGAATGTAGAAGTTCAACGGGGCTGGGAGAATTAAACCCTCATTGAAGATCTTTGATGAATGTAAAAAGTTTAACGGGGCTGGGGAGAATTAAACCCTTATTGAAGATCTTCGATGAATGTAGAAATTTAACGGGGCTGGGAGAATTAAACGCTTTTTGAAGATCTTCAATGAATGTAGAAGTTTAACGGGGGTGGGGAGAATTAAACCGTCATTGAAGATCTTCAATGAATGTAGAAGTTTAACGGAGCTGGGAGAATTAAACCCTCATTGAAGATCGTCAATGAATGTAGAAGTTTAACGGGGCTGGGGAGAATTAAACCCTCATTGAAGATCTTCACTGAATGTAGAAGTTTAACGGGTCTGGGGAGAATTAAACCGTCATTGAAGATCGTCAATGAATGTAGAAGTTTAACGGGGCTGGGGAGAATTGAACCCTCATTGAAGATCTTCAATGAATGTAGAAGTTTAACGGGTCCTGGGAGAATTAAACCGTCATTGAAGATCTTCAATGAATGTAGAAGTTTAACGGGGCTGGGGGGAATTAAAGCCTCATTGAAGATCGTCAATGAATGTAGAAGTTTAACGGGGCTGGGAGAATTAAACCCTCATTGAAGATCTTCAATGAATGTAGAAGTTTAACTGGGAGAATTAAACCCTCATTGAAGATCTTCAATGAATGTAGAAGTTTAACGGGGCTGGGAGAATTAAACCCTATTGAAGATCTCAATGAATGTAGAAGTTTAACGGGGCTGGGAGAATTAAACCCTTATTGAAGATCTTCAATGAATGTAGAAGTTTAACGGGGCTGGGAGACTTAAACCCTTATTGAAGATCTTCAATGAATGTAGAAGTTTAACGGGGGTGGGAGACTTGAACCCTCATTGAAGATCTTCAATGAATGTAGAAGTTTAACGGTGGTGGGAGAATTAAACCCTCATTGAAGATCTTCATGAATGT